ACAGGACTTTAAGCATCATCTTGCTTTTTTTAATTTAAATTTTATTTTTTAAGTTTTTAAAAAATCATTTTGCCTGGGGCTCGTAGAACTCTTATCATAATCCATACTTCCATCCATTGTGTCAAGCACATTTGTACATTTGTTACCATCATCATTCTCAAAACATTTGCTTTCTGCTTGAGTCCTATCTTGCTTTTTTTTTTTAAATCATTTTATTGGGAGTTCGTACAATTCTTATCACAGACCATATATCCATCCATTGTGTCAAGCACATTTGTACATTCTATCATGCTTTTTAAAACATCATCCTATTATTTTTCTTGTAATCATCAAGGGACTAATTTTTCGTGAGATTGTCAAGTCAGATTAAATCTCCCCTGTCAACTTTTGCTTTATTTCATTTATATCAGTTGAAGTTCGCTGGAAAAAAAAGTATAACTTTACAGGTTTGAAGATAGACTGAAGCAAATTTAATATGAGGGTAAATAAAAAAATATTGCTAAAACATCCTAGAAACATTGAACAAAAATATCAAAATTGAAGGTATCGTTTGTGGATATACCTCCATCTCGAGTTACACTTGTCTGAAGGCAGTGTTTCCGTATCTTTAGCCACCTCCAGAGAATTCTGCGTTTGTCAGTTTGCACCATGTCAGTGTGGCAGTTTGGGTAGCCTGGAGGAACTTGTGTTTCTTTTATGTTTTCTTTGAGTTTTAGGAACAAAAGGAAGTTTGAAGGGGCAAAATTAGGCCTATGGGGTGGATGGGGTAAGGTTTCCCAACAAAATGCTTGTAGGACAGCTTTTGCTACCCTTGAAGGATCAGCACGGGTATCAAGAGGGGCAAAAAATTTCTCGATGCATATTTTCTGGCTGTTTTCTCATCAGTACAGTTTTTATTTTTTTTAAAGACTTTTTAATGAACCCCTGTGATTTTCCTGTGTCCCGAAAGAGTAAGAAACAAAGGAAAAATTCTAAAATAATTTCGGAATCCAAAAAAGCGGTTGTCCTAAACATCTGAGTTGACCCCTTGGCCTTGAATTTCGCGGGCCTACCAGATCCCTTGGGAAACCACTGCTTTGATTGGGTCTGAAGACGTCCTAATCAGACTAAGATAAGCCTGTTACTGAGCGTGCTACTTGTTCTCAGCCATCCACTGATTGCATAAATATGTTTAAACATATTTTGTCTGGAATACACCCATACATTATGAACTGGAACCTTAGTTGAAATGCGTTTTGATTAACCCTCATATTTATTTGGTTTTCGTATTTATTTGCACCTTAAAAAATTCTCCATAATCATTTCCTTTCTTAACAATAACTTCATGTATCCTAATTACCATCAGTGATGTTTCAGATAAGTATGTTAAATGACTATAGCTTTTTCGTCTTCTTTTCTATATAAAAATAACTTGTGTTGAGGGATCACAATATACAAAATCGTTTAAGTGGTTAACAACAAAAAAAGAAGCAATTAAGCCCTCATATTTTAATTTCCCTTGACTAGCAAGATTTCTTAAACCAATATTATTTATTGAGTGACTAAATAAACCGAACTCCCCAATTTTAATGCCAAATGTATTGCCATCAAGTCAATCTCTACCCACCGTGATTGCTTGTATTTCAGAGTAGAACCTTCACCGTTGAAAAACCAACAACTCGTGCTCGCTTCGGCAGCACATATACTAAAATTGGAACGATACAGAGAAGATTAGCATGGCTCCTGCGCAAGGATGACACGCAAATTCGTGAAGCGTTCCATATTTTTTTAAAAAAGAAAAAAAACCAAAAAAAACAAAACAAAACCAACAACTCTCTCACTGCCATCAAGTCCATTGTGACCTATAGAACCCAGTAGGACAAAGTAGCACTGGCCCTTTGGGTTTCCAAGGCTGTAAATCTTTACAAGAGCTGAACGCTTCCTCTTTTCCTGAAGAGTGGCCGGTGGTTTTGAACTGCTGACCTTGTGGATACCAGCCAAACTTGTAACCCATTATGCCACCAGGTGTCCTCAGGGATATCGTATATTACAGAGAAGAACTACTCCTGGGGTTTTGATGGGCATACTCTTTACAGAAGCAGATTGACAGGTCTTTTTCCCATAGTGATTTTGAAAGGACAATCTTTTGGTTGCTTATAAAACTCACTGCCTGGAGGGAGG